GATCCTCTGATGATTGGTAACAGAACCGTGCGATGAAATTAGTTCAGATTTTAGATTTGTTTGAAACTGAAGAACATTACGATTTTCCTTACTGGTACCGAAACAATGTCTCAATGTATAGAACTACTCATTTATATCTAATACCCTGCGATTCCACTCCTTCAGCGGGGATCTCGTTGATCCACATTAATACATTATCCACCCAGAAATATTGAATAATGTCCATCAGTCAACTGCTAAACCAATCATTCTCTTTCAATCAATCCATCAGAACCTTTGAAGGAGTGCAATTTATAAAAAGTTTTTGGACCTATGAGATCCAATCAATCTCTACAGGCGAAGGAATCAGGCCAGCTATGCTTTACCCAAGTTCTCAAAATCAAATTATTCAGTTACAAGGAACAACTTGTAAAAAAAATAACAGTAATATATAATAATAAGTGGTAAAACAGATTCAGATTTGGCTCTACTTCTCAATAATCTATACAACATCTTCGAGGAAAACCAAGCATAAAAGCAACACCCAACTCTGCATTTGTGGTTTGAGCCCAAATGAAGCACGGAGTACCACGTTGTCGATCCCAGGACCACAAAACACAAAATCTCTTGTCTAACTCGTGGTTAGGCTAACGAAGCTGATGTTTGTTAGAGCTGAATCTCCCTTGAAAGTCATGAGGAAGCTTTGGGCCAAGCCGGTTCCGTTGGTCTGCATCGTGAAGTTCATTGGCGTAGATCCTGCTTGCGCCCTCACAATGAAATCTCCCACACAAGAGTCGTTTACATCTGCAAGTACAAATTCCAAGTTATAGGTCGTACCCTTATTGAGCTCTGTTGCTGTTTGTATCCCAGCTGAAGCACCCGAAACAAGCTCAACTGCAGCTTTGCCTTGTGAAACTTGGTAGTTTTTGGAGTCTATGTATTTCATAAGCCGTTGATGCCTTAAAACCATCGCAGATTATTGGGAAACCAAATCTCCACGTTTCCTAAATGTATTTGGATAGTAGTTT